TCACCCAGCTAAGCCTTTTCCGAGACCACAGACACAGTGAGATAATACTTGTTAAATGTTTTAAGCCTCTAAGTTTCGGGGTAATTTGTTATACAGTAATAGGTATCTAACACAATACTGTTTCATTCATTCATTCATTCATTCAGAGAGGGCACAAGTGAGCAAAGGGCAGAGAGAGAGAGAAAGAGAGAGAGAGAGAATCCCACAAGGGGCAGAGGCAGGGGGGAAAGAGAGAAAGAGAAGTGGGGCTGGTGTTCACCTGAAGCAGGGCTTAGCTCACCCGAAGTGGGGCAGGAGCTCACCTGGAAGCAGGGCTTGAGCTCATCTGATGTGGGATTCGAACTCCTGAACCCTGAGATCATGACCTGAGCCCAAGTCAGATGCTTAATGACTGAGCCACCCAAGGACCTGTTTCCTTTTTTTAAAAAAGATATAATATGGGAGTGCCTGGGTGGCTCAGTCGGTTGAGTGTCCAACTTTGGCTCAGGTCATGATCTCATGATTCATGAATTCAATACCTGCGTCAGGCTCTGTGCTGACAGCTCAGAGCCTGAAGCCTGCTTCAGCTTTTGTGTCTCCCTCTCTCTCTGCCCCTCCCCCACTCATGCTCTGGCTCTCTCGTGCGCTCTCTCTCAAAAATAAACATTAAAAAAAGTTAAAAGAGTATAATTATGGTCCTAGAAATACAATTCTGACATCTATTCCACTCCAATTATTAGTGCAGATATTTAACATCTCTGGCTTAGATTCTGAGTATGAGAAATAATTTTTTTCTTTTGGAAAAACAAATTTAATGAATGTAGTCCTTTTATTTATTGTCTCTGACTAGGGCACCCAAGTGTATCCATTTTTCGTCATACCTTTTTCTACTTCCTACCCCTTCCCTATAAGTAGGATGGACCTCAAAAACTGTAAAATAACGATTTATTCTACATAGTCACTTTTGTTAGGCAGTTCTGTTAAGACTAGTAACTATAATTTTCTCTTAAACCTGTCATGCATAAAACCTAATGTGCACAAGGTATTCGACAAATATTTCAGTATACTAATACAAGGTATAAGCAGGGAAGCAACCCTCAGCCTATGAACTAAACATATTATTTAGGATGACTTCTCATCTCCTAACAACCAGTTACCCAGATGATAAATTTCTCCTTATAACTTGTAGCCACTTTCTACAATGGTAAAACTGCCACACCCCATCCCATTACAGTAAAATGTCATCAACTATGGGGCCTTTAAAGTATACATACATAGTAGTAGGGCGCCTGGGTGGCTCAGTCGGTTAAGCATTCCACTTGGGCTCAGGTCATGATCTCACCGCTTGTGAGTTCGAGCCCCGCGTCGGGCTCTGTGCTGACAACTCAGAGCCTGGAGCCTGCTTTGGATTTTGTGTCTCCCTCTCTCTCTGCCCCTCCTCTGCTCATGTTGTCTGTCTCTCAAAAATAAACTTTAAAAACATTTTTTTAAAAAAGTATACATAGTAGTAATCTTTCCTTAACTCACAAACATAGTCACTTTAATTATACACTATGATGCATTAATAATCTTAGACAAATATTTCTGCCAAAACAAAGAGCTAACAAATTCCCCATGTAAATGTCACCTACTTCCCTCTCTCATCACACAAATATTTATAAAAACCTGAGGTAATCGTAGTCCCAAATCCAACAACTACCTTTAGTATTGTTTTACAAATAAGTCTTTTTCACTGTTGGTGCTGCAAAAGTTCATATATATTTTTTTTAATTTTAATTTCTTTAAGTCATCTCTACACCCAAGGTGGGGTCCAACTCAAACCAGAGATCAAGTAGCAGGCTCCGCCCAGTGTGCCAGCCAGACGCCCCAAATACATATATATTTTTAATGCTACAATACCTAGAGCAGATGCCCAATCTAATGCAGCTAATTTGCAAAGGAAGGAAACACAAATCCTCACTTTCACAGAAACTTTTTATAGCCTGAACATAAAATGTTTAATTCCTACACTATTTGTAACAAAACATACAATTCTGAATCTCAGTATATTTCAAATCTCGTCAAATTCCCAAAGCGTTCTTTCCTAAGGCTGGTGTGATGCAATAATCTTAAAATGCCGATTAAGAAAATGGGGCAGGAAGGCCTGGCGTCAACGTTACCAAACATTCCATGTGCAGGGAAGAGACCGTGTCACACTTTTAACAGTCACGCCTCCAGGGATCCGGAGCGGGCAGGACTGTCGTGCCTGGTAAAGAGGGCAATGGGCAACTCCGGCAAGACCCCCGCCACGCCGCCCTGGGCCAGGGAAACGCCGGGGCACAAAGCCTAGGGGAGGACCCGGTGCTTATGGAATCTCGAAGGCGCGACGAAGCCTGAGAGAGACGCCGGGGCTTCGCGCAGATCCCGGGACCATCAGACAGTGACGGCCCACGGGTTCAGCACACCCCGCTTGCTCTCGCGTCCGGCGCGCTCGCCGCCCCTGCACGCCCACCCCATCCAGACTCTGGAGCTTCGGCCTCCCACCTCAGGACGCAGTTTCGCGGCGTCCATTCCGTCCCCTTCCCGCCCAGTCCCTCGCGGAGCTCAGCCGCACCCACCCTCAGCTCTCAGGTTGAAGTCCTTCGCAGCACAAACGGCGGCCCCGCCTCTCTTCCCTCCCCTAGGCCGGCACCATAGAGACGCCGGACGCCGGCCAGAGCGGCCCCAGCACCCGCCAAACGTCCGCCGAGAGGACGCCGGGATACTGGCCCCATGCATAACGGCCCGGAACGGATAGCTCTGGGGTCCGCTGGTGGAGGTGGTGGGTTCCTGCAGTTTTCTCCCGCCGTACCACATAAGGAGACCTTTGGGATAGTGGGGGGATAAGTGCAAAGTGCCTTGTTGGTTTCCTCTGTCAAACCTGAGCATTCGTTCTTGGCTGTGCCGGCGCCGTGCCCCAGACTTAGCCGATATACCCATAATGCACCCTCCCTGGCGGCCAGAAAGCTAAGAAAGCAGAAGTGGCCTCACCGAATGTCGGAGGCACAGGCCATACGCTTAGACGCTTGAGCTAGGAGCCACAGGCCGTCTCGGGTCCCGAAGAGGTAGAGAAATGTCTTTCAAGTTGGGCGTCGGAGAGTTTTTCAGGAGACGGTGACACCACGCGGCTTTGCGGGTCGGCCGCTCCTCCATAGCGCTCCAACGCCCCCTTGGGGAATTCTTGATAATTATAGTTCGCCACTTTGTGGGCGGACGGTGGGTGCTACACTTTATTGTAGCAGCAGTGGCAGGCCTGGCTTAATCGTGACTGCTAAACGCACAGGAGTTGAAAAAACTGCGTAAAATGTAGCTTGACCCTAATTAACCAAACTCACGAGATGCAGCTTTTTAATGGGACTGTGGTCAGGTCCCAGCCTGTCTTTTGCCTGAGTGAGCACCGAGGAGATGTCTAGCTTGGCACTGGCTCTAGGAAGCACTGGCCCAAAAGAATAGGCTCAAAGAGGGGCATTGCTTTCTTCTTCCTACCTACAGTTTCTCAGAACAAGTGTCAGATGGAAAGCAAGGGTAGTAGTGGGATTATATTAATCATAGAGTTGAAAGAGAATTCTGTAGTAGAAAGTGAGATCTTCAGTATCAAGCAAACTCCTAGGCCTCTCACAAAACCCTGAAGTGTGACTCAGTTTCTCGGTGATAGAACTTTTCATTGCTTGCCACACTCTTGGTCCTTAGCCAGTGGAAAAGATTCAACTGAGGAAAACGATACACAATTTAACTCACATAGTTTAAAAGCTAATCAAAAAGAACACATTAACCACAATATGGGGTGCTTTTAGTCATGATAAGGACAATTTGTCTCAATTGTAGTAACAATTTCACATTGCCCTTATGGCAGCATTGTACATCTTATACTCCAGGCTTTCTAGAGCTATAGAACAACATGGAAGGCTTCCTGCAACCAAAACAAAGAGAAAGGGTTAGTTCTTTTCTGTGCAGTCAGCCTACAGCCCGAAGGCACTGATTCATTTCTACAATACATACTGAATTCTCTGTGTGCTGAACACCATGCTTAGTAACAGGCTATAGAATGACTTTATGGAGCTCAAGTTCTAGCGAAGGATCTAGACTACAAAGAAACAAAAGTTGTACAACTACAGTATGTGCTATAAAGGAAATAACTAGGATGATGTAATAGAGACTAATGGGGGAGGCCCTTCTGAAGAAGTAATAATTGGTGCTGAGATTTAAAGGTGGCAAGGAGCCCAGAGAGAAGCTATCAAGAGAACATTGTGCCCATTCAAGTCACTGACATTATCACTCCTAATCTATGCTCTGCTTCATTTCCTTTTTCTCCTTGTTTCCTATGTTCTTTCTTCCATGTCAAGAAGCTGGTCTTTTCTAGAAATCAGAAGTTAATCAGAATATTTTTGCTATATTTGTCAAATCTTGAAGTCTCTTTAGTGTGTGGTTTTGTTATTTCCCAATTGGCAAGGTTCTAATAAACAGCACTTTTGATGAGGTCATTTTAGTTGCACACACTTGTATAGCATCAGTTTTTTTCAGATGTTCAAAAGAAATTAATAAGCCAATTCAGATAAAATTGGTCTCTGATGAAGTGCTCAATTCTTAGCTTGAAGCAATATTGCCTGTATGATTTAAAGATCTAATTCTCTTTGGGCAGTTCTGTTGAAAAATATTTGGAGACACCAAATAGCAAATGACCAAATGCACAAAATTCTGCATATTTAAAAAGGAAAAAAAAAAACAACTTTGAGGATTAATAGTAAATTCTCTGCAAGATAAAACAGTAACAACTATGATTTTATAAATTTTTTTCATAAATATGAAATAATTGTTCAAAATTCTAAAATAGTTCTTTATTAATAAGGTACATTATAAATATATATCTTAAAGTTTACAAGTTAGGTAACCCCCAAAGTTAACTGTCATTTTTTCATATAATCATTGCACAGAAGTAATATATGTAATTTCTTGGCTTACTAGTAATACTAGTCACTTGAAACAACATCCTTAAGGTTTGTGATTCACTTTTTAGAATTTAATAGAAGATAGTCAATATCCTGAAGGATTTCAGAGGTTTTTTTCAATGCCACTGATACTCTCTTTTCATTAACTTCTTCCAGCAAGGTTTCTGAAGGTTTTGGTTCATAATGATCAGATGACTGTTCATTTTCTTTGTTGGAAATCTGGTTTAGGATACCACTATTCTCCAGTAACACTAAGTTGCTTAGTTAAGGAGTTTTTCCCCAAAATTTTCATTATATAAGTACTTTTAATTTCAGAAAGCCTGGTCTTCATATTAAAATATTATTTCTCTGTTAGGAAGGTCTCTTGGATTCATAATAGATTTGGCACTTTAGAACTTATCAAGTCTACCCCTTATTGATAAAGAAACTAGTTAGAGTAGAAGAGAAGAAGAAAGGAAAGAGTAGGTATGTGTGTGTATTTGGATGGAAATTTGGTGATAGGAGATGAAAGAATTAAAATCTCAACATTCCTTTAAGTGAAGAAGTGATATGGGACTAAAAGAACAAAAGAGTGACAGGAATATAAATAATCTATGCATTGTATTTTTTAATTTAAAAAAGATCTAGAATGAAAAGAAACCTGTCCTCTGTTGCAGAGCTACTTTATTATTTGAATAGGATTACAGAAAAATCATTAGATAAATTTAAATGAATGAGGTGGGAACTTACAGAACAAAAAGTTTCTTAAGAAAATGAGCCCAGTTATATGTCAACAAATTGGACAACCCAGAAGAAACAGATACCTTCCTAGAAACATACAACCTACCAAGACTGAATCATGAAAGAGAGAATCTGAATAGATCAATCACTAATAAGGAGGTTGAATCAGTAATCCAGAACCTCCAAATAAATAAGAGCCCAGGGCCAGATGGTTTCACTGGTGAATTCCTCCAAGCACTGAAAAAGAATTAATACCAATCCTTCTCAAACTCTTCCAAAAAACAGAAGTGGAGGGAGTATGTCCAAACTCATCTTTAAGTCCAGCATTACCCTGACAACCAAAACCAGACAAGAACACTGGTCAGAAAAAATTATTGGGGTGCCTGGCTGGCTCAGTCAGAAGAGTATATGACTCTTCATCTCAGGGTCACAGATTCAAGCCGCATATTGGGTGAAGAGATTGCTTTTGAATGAATGAATAAATAAATAAATAAATAAATAAATAAAATGTTAAAAAAAAATTACAGGCCAATATCCCTGATGAATATAAATGCAAAAAAATCCTCAAAAGATTAGCAAATGGAATCAACAATACCTTAAAATGATCATATACCATAATCGACTGAGATTTATTCCAGAAATGCATGGATGTTTCAACATATGAAAATCAGTCAATGTGATACACCACATTAACAAAATGAAGGATAAAAATTACCTGATTATCTCAATAGATGTAGAAAAACTGTCAACAAACTGGGTATAGAAGGAATGTACCTCGTGATAATAAAGGTCACATATGACTAGCCCACAGCTAACATCATACTCAATGGTGAAAAACTGAAAGCTTTTCCTCTAAGATCAGGAATAAGACAAGGATGCCCACTCTCGCCAGTGTTATTCAACATAATGTCCTAGCCAGAGCAATTAGGCAAAAAAGAAAAGGAATTCAAGTCAGAAAAAGTAAAACTGTTTCTATTTGCAGATGATATGACATTATATATAGAAGATCCTAAAGACTCCACCAAAAACTGTTAGAACTAATAAATTCAGTAAAGTTTCATGATGTAAAATCAATGTACAAAAAAATCAATTAAATACACTAATAACAAACTATCAGAAATTAAGAAAACAATCCCATTTATAATTATATCAAAAAGAATAAAATGCCTAGGAATATATTTAAGCAAGAAAGTGAAAGATCTATATACTAAGACATTCATGATGGAAACTGAAGAAGACACAAATAAATGGAAAGCTATTTTGTACTCCTAAATTGGAAGAATATTGTTAAAATGTCCATGCCACCCAAAACAATGTACAAATACAATTCAATCTCTATCAAATTCCAATAGCATTTTTCAAAGAAACATAATAAACAATCCTAAAATTTGCACAGAACCACAAAAGAACCCAAAGAGCCGAATCTTAAGAACAAAGCTGGAGGCATAATGCTTCCTGATCTCAAACTATATTACAAAGTTATAGTAATCAAAACAGTATAGCATGGGGATAAGGATAGACACATAGATCAATGGAACAGAATAGAGAGCCCAGAAATAAACCCACGTCATACACGGTCAATTAATTTACAACCAACAAGCCAAGAATATACAATGGGGGAAAAGATGGTCTCTTCAATAAGTGGTGCTGGAAAAACTGGACCCTTATCTTACACCCTACACAAATATCAACTCAAAATGGGCTGAAAACTTGAATATAAGACCTGAAACCATAAAACCCCTAGACGAAACCACGGGGTAAGGTCCTTGACATCAGTCTTGGCAGTGATTTTTTTGGATTTGATAACAAAGCAAAGGCAACAAAAGCAAAAATAAACAAATGGAAGTACATCAAACTTAAAAGCTTCTGCACAGCAAAGGGCACCATCAACAAAATGAAAAGACAATCTATGAAATCAGAGAATGTATTTGCAAATCATATATTTGATAAGAGGTTAATATCCAAAATACATAAAGAGCTCATACAACTAAATAGCAAAAAAACAAAACAAAACAAAAAACTGATAAAAAAATGGGCAGAGAAACTGAATAGATATTTTCAAAGACATACAAATGGTCAATAGGTATATGGAAAAGTGCTCAACATCACAAATCATCAGGGAAATGCAAATCAAAACCACAATGAGGTCTCACCTCATATGTATTTGAATGGCTATCATCAAAAAGACAATAGTTAACAAGTGCTGGTAAGGATGTGGAGAAAAAACCCTTGTGTACCTTGGTGTCAATGTAAATTGGTGTAGACACTATGGAAAACAGTATGGAAGCTCCTCAAAAAATTAAAAAAAGAACTATCATACCATTCAGCAATTCAAATTCTGCAGATATATCCAAAGGAAATGACATCAGGATCTCAAAGAGATATCTGCATTCCCATGTTCATTGCAGCATTATTCACAATAGCCAAGATATGGAAACAAACCAAGTGTCCAGTAACAAATGAACGGATAAAGAAGATATGGTATAGGGGCACCTGGGTGGCTCAGTCGGTTAAGCGTCCGACTTCAGCTCAGGTCATGATCTCACTACTTGGGAGTTCAAGCCCCGTATTGGGCTCTGTGCTGACAGCTCAGAGCTTGGAGTCTGCTTCAGATTTTGTCTCCGTCTCTCTGCCCCTTCCCTGTTCACGTGTCTCTCTCTCTCCTTTCTCTAATATAAAATAAAAAATTAAAAAAAAAAAGAGAGATGGTATATGTATACAATGGAATACTACTCAGCCATGAGAAATAAGGAAATCCTGCCATTTAAAACACAGAAGGATTCTGAGGGTATTATGCTAAATGAAATAAGCCAGACAGAAACACAAATACTGCAGTGTCATTTATATGTGGAATTTTTTTAAAAAGTCAAACTGATAGAAACAGTAAAAATGGTTTCCAGGGGGTGGGGGTGGATAAAATAGAGATTGGTAAAAGAAGACAAACTTCCAGCTCTAAATTGTATAAGGTCTGAGGATCTAATGTATAACATGGTGACTATAGTAGATAACCTTGTGTTGTATGGTTGAGGTTTGCTAGAAGAATGGAACTCAGAGGTTCTTACCAAAAAACGGGTGGGGAGAGGAAGGAATAGATATAGGGCATATAGATATAGATATGTGAGGTGACATGGGTGTTCATTATTAACAAGACAGGGTAATCCTTTCACAATATGTGTGTGTCAAGTCACCACAACGTACACCTTAAATCTCTTACAATTTTGTCAGTTATACCTCAATAAAGCAGAAATTAAAAATAAAAGAATTTTTAATAATAAATATCCTAAGAAAAAAGAAAGGAAAAGTCAGACATAGGTCTGTTATAATTTAGAATAGAATTATATAAGTGAAAAAGTCTCCATAGGAGACCTTAACCCTAGTTCACTGTCCCCTGCCCTATTTAAACTCACTCAAAAGTATAAATGTTGACATGATATACCTTCTATAGACAAGATATAGCTTTGTTTTTTAAGTTTATTTATTTATTTTGAGAGACAGAGGGTGAGCAGGGGAGGGGCAGAGAGAAAGAGAAAGAGAGAGAGAGAGATAGAGAGAGAGAGAGAATCTCAAGCAGGCTCTGCAGGGTCAGCACACGTGGGGCTTGAACTCATGAAACTGTGAGATCATAACCTGAGCTAAAAATAGTTGAATGCTTAACCAACTGAGCCACCCTGGTGCCCCTAGACAAGATAGATCTTAAATTACCATCTTAAATGTTATTCAGTAAAGCTCTAGAATATATAAGTATGGATTAATATAAAGTACAGAATCATGAATTAAGCCTAGAACCTAAAGGGAGTAATTATACAGGACGGTACATTCTGTTTAAAGGATACAGTTAAACTTCTTTATCTTTTCAAGTTCAGAGGCCACAGACCTGTGCAAAAAGAAAAAAAAAGTAAGTTAATGATAGTTATCTGATTCTTTTATATCCACAATATTTCAAGTAAGCATACTTGATTTTTTTTTCATAAAGTTTTGAATTTTAGAAAGAAGTGCCCAGAAGTTAAGAATTCTCTTTATTTGGGTGCCTGTCTGGTTCAGCCAGTAGAGCATATGAATTCTCTCTATATTGGCTTTATTTAGTAACAAATCAACTTGATTCAACTGATAGCTATTGAGTACTTTTAAATTAAAAAAATTTTTTTGAATGTTTATTTATTTTTGAGAGACAGAGAGAGAGAGAGAGAGACAGAGCATGAGTGGGGGAGGGGCAGAGAGAGAGGAAGACACAGAATCCGAAGCAGGCTCCAGGCTCCAAGCCGTCAGCACAGAGCCTGATGCAGGGCATGAACTCATGAGCCATGAGATCATGACCTGAGCCCAAGTCGTACACTCAATTGACTGAGCCACCCAGGCTCCCTGCTATTGAGTGCTTTTAATGAATAATGTAAGTGAATAGAAGTCCTCACCTCAAGGACTTTTGAATCAGGTATTGATGTTTGAAGGTAACTGGCATTCCTGCTACAACTTAAAAACAAATTTTTTTTTTTGATGTTTTATTTATTTTTGAGAGAGAGAGAGACAGAGTACGAGCGGGGGAGGGGCAGAGAAAGAGGGAGACATAGAGTCTGAAGCAGGCTCCAGCTCTGAGCTGTCAGCACAGAACCCGACACGGGGCTCGAACTTGTGAAATAAGAGATCATGACCTGAGCTGAAGTCGAATGCTTAACCAACTGAGCCACCCAGGTGCCCCAACTTTTTTTTTACATAACTATTTTTTCTATTTATTTGAAGTTTTTTTATATAACTATTTTTTCTATTTGAAGTACAATAAAAAAAAATGCTACACTCTGGAAATTCAGTGGCACAGGTACATGGCCATAACTTGAGAGACATTATAAAGTTTAAAAAAAAAAAAAAAGAAGGAAATAAAAAGAAAAAAAATTCTCATATGAAACTGTACTATTACATACTTTTATCTGCCCAAACAGATAATTTGCAAATATTAGGTCAATAAACTGTATAACATCCATAAAAAGGTAGCTTCTTACTGAAATGCAAGAATTTAAAAGATTGGTAATCGAGGGGTGCCTGGGTGGCTCAGTCGGTTAGGCTAGGTCATGATCTCATAATTCACATCGGGCTCCATGCTGACAGCTCAGAGCCTGGAGCCTGCCTCAATTTTGCGTCTCCCTCTCTCTCTGCCCCTTCCCCCATGCTCGCTTGCTCTCTCTCTCAAAAAAAACATTAAAATTTTTTTTATAGATTGATATCTAAACAAGAAAAGACAAACAGAAACTGGAATGAAAATCTAGATATCACATCTAAAATCGGGGCTTTCTGTTGGAGACTTCCTACTCTTCTCTCCCTCTGCCATATCCTGCTGGAGTTCCAGGCCCCACTCCTCTGTCCACCTATCTACACATAGATCCCGCCTGCTACAACTTTTTTAATACTCACCTGGTATACCCTCTTCTTTCCTCCTCCAAGTTTAGTCAAAGTTAAAAACCTACTAAAATCCTATCACTTCTCTGAAAGAAGTGTTCTCTCCTTCCTTGAATTTCTATAGCACTGTTAACTAATCATATACTCATTGTAATCTCTTGAACTCTTTAACCTTCTGATTTTCATACCTAGATTGTCTTTTTCAGGAGAAAGGATTTTTTTCTTTTTCTTCTGTACTTTGCACATATAAGTAAGGCCTCATTTATATGGAACCCTTCAGAAACAGATGGTTTTGGGGGGCCAAGTTTTTACAGTTGAATTAGGTGTCAAAATATAAGTATTTTCTATTAAGTTTCTTCTGGAATAGACTACTTACTCATTTCATTGTTTTCTTAAACACAGTATATTACATATTCTCTTCTCCTTGAATAGAAGGGTTAACATTATGAACATTAACTCTTACCATGTTCCACAGAAACAGACACTGGGACAAATGGTAATGGGTAGAGGGCAGAATCTCTGACGTGTGTATCCTTTCTCTTTTTCCTCATTAAGCTAGAATGAAATGTGAGCAGTGGCACACAACTAGAAAATAGTGTCACTTAACTAGCTCACTGTAAAATTAATGAAGACTTTAATATCTAAAACATCTCTCTATTCAAGTCACTAGAAAAGTCTTCACAGTTCATGGAACTTGTCTGCTTTACTGGCCTTACTACAATGGAATGTATTCACCTCCTTGTCAATTTGTACTCTTTCGCTGAAGGATGAAAGAGATCTTTCAACATTTTAAGCATCTGTGGTAAAGACTTCCATATGACTTATTCCAAGGCCTGCTGATTATTCATCACTGAAAAACATCTTTTTTTTCCACATATGACATTTTTCTGGCTGTAAGCAACAATACAAACTACCTTTAGTACTGTTGCTCATATGATGACCCGACTTCTTATGAACTCTCTTCTGTACTATTTTTGACTAGCATCCCTATTAAGAAGTTGAATCAGTAAAAAAATAATAGAAGGTGAGCTGGAAAAAAAATACTGAAATACAATTTAGGTAGCTATCGATTGTGCAGTCATTTCTCTTCCTTCAACCCTTCTCTGACAAGAAAACAAATCAGAGTGGAGATGTGTTAGGCTTTGCAAGGGAAATGGAGCTACAGTAAGCAACTGCGACTGGACTGCGTCTCCTCTCCCTACTCTTCCTCAACTCCTTTGTCTTTCTGCTGCTCCTTTTTGCTTCCACCCGTGGCTGCTCTCACCAATATGCACTTCTCTCATGCCCTCACTTTTTACTTGTCTTTACAGTTATCCTCTTCAAAGTCTTCATGTAAAAAGGCTAGCATCTTACAAACTTTGTCAGCTGAGCAATGAAGTGACCAATTTTATCATCATACATAATTTCCTTTTCATCCCAACTATGTTTTTTGCTAGCTACTCGGGCAATTTTTCTGCTCCCAAACAGACTGTAGCTGAAGAATGGAGGATCTGGAAAGCTGAACCCTTAGGATGCCTAACATATTCAAATAACATCTACTGATTTGATTTCGACCTCTTTCTCTAAGTCACTTAGGAAAAGGTGTTGAGAATTAGGCTTAATGTTTGTATTTTTTCACCATGCTATGCTAAGACACTTACAAACCACTTTAAAGCTTCCTAAATTGTTCCTGGTATCCCTCTTTTCCAATACAGGTTTCTTCCACTATCCAATGGTAGAGTGTTCTATGAAAACTTTCATAAACTTAAATGGCACAAAGTGAAAAAACAATTGCCATTCATTTTTATGGAAAATGTTTTGATCATTCCCACACCCAAAACATAACCTCTCTTAACGCTTTTTCTGACACCTAAGGATCCATCTTGCTAATGGATGCACAAAATAAACTGGGATAAAGCACAAAGGCTCACAGACACAGTTCAAAGCTATGGCAGACTGAAGCTGAGATGCTGAGTGTAGTTCTCAGGTAAGGAGCTCAGAGCTACCATGCTCCCTGCTGGGGGTGCAAGCTGCCTCCGTGTAAGAGCTCGCTGCTAAACAAATGCAGAATGCTATTTTCACTTTTTGCCTTTTTCCTTGAAAGCGAAAATACTTCTCGAATTTTTTTTGGTTAGCAAAGACAGGAACATACTCCCAAGTACTAACCAGGCCCAACACTGCTTAGCTTTCGAGGTCAGACAAGATCAGGCACATCCAGGGTGGTATGGCTGTAGAAAAATGGGGACATGCTGATGTAGGTCTTTCATGTAAGTGAAGTGGCATAGTGCAAACTTCCAAAAAGTAGGGGATGCCTGTATATTCAGAGTATGCTGTCAGTGATACTAACCTTCCTAAGGGCCTTTCTTCCTGTCATTTTTTCCACCTAGGAACTCGTAATTCCATCAAGTGTGAGCTTTTCTATTGATCACAAGATCTATTCTTATTCTTCAAAACCCACAATACACCCTAACAGATAGCATCTGCTCCATAAAAACATTTTTTCACTGTCTCCACAGGACAAAATATACTTTTTACCTCTACCCTTGCTCCCTCCCTAAAATATCTTATTCATTTCCCTAAATATTCCTTTGAAGCCCAGTTCTAGTCCCCTTGCACACTGAAGGGCACGTAGGATGGACTAAAATACTTTATTTGTTGATTTGCCAGTTGATTTGGGGGAGGTAATTAATATGATAAAAATGATTTCAAAATCAATTTTTTCTGAAAGTTAGTCAACACTTTACTTCTTTTAATATTACTAAAATTTTAAAAATTCTCCTTTAAATTTTTCCATAAAGTTTTCGGGATGAATTTATCATATAAAAAGAATCGCCCATTTTGGTAAGAAGTTTTCAATGCAGTTTTCTGAACTTCAGATAAAATAAAATACGATGTAATGTAATAAATTGGTATCTGATTAAAGATAAATTATTTTCAAGCTTAAGCTATAAGAGTCTCAGAGCTTACCATTTGATATTTTTAATTTTTGTGACTCTTTTACACAGATAAAGTTTAAAAGAAATATAAATACCAATTTTCTTCAAGAATAGAAGATGAAGAATGTGTGGGCATCTCTCTCTGATTAGTCTGGGTCAGGCTTCTGCACCATGATACGACTGCTGTCACATATCTAGATTGAAAACATTAAAATAAATATTTGAAAAATGAAGTTGTATAGTATTTTTAAAAACATTTTTTTAAAAGGAAAAATCATTAAGACAATTTGGGGAAAAATGATAAAGAAAAAAATTCCAAAGTGAGGCATTTACTGGTAAATTTTTTGAGTCTTTTTCAAAGCAAATGGAAAAGTTAAGTTTTTTTCATTATTCATCAAGAATAAAATGATTTACTCATATTCATGATTAGTAAAGATATTTCTATAAGTTCTTTTTTAAAATTTATTTTTGAGAGAGAGAGAGAGAGAGAGAACATGAGTAGGGACTGGGCAGAGAGAGAGAGAAAGAGAAATAATCCCAAGCAGGCTTTGCACTGTCAGCACAGAGCCCAACACAGGGCTCGATCTCACCAACCATGAGATCATGACCTGAGCTGAAATCAAGAGCCGGATGCTTAACAGCCTGAGCCACCCAGGTGCCCCAATAAAGACAGGCTTTAAAATCAGAACAAAGTGATACTTGGATTTCATTCAAAATTCAAATTCAAATGTCTAAATTCTCCAAAGTGAAATAAATTTCATTATGTTTTATAATGAAAATGTCTTTACACATTAAGACTAAGTGAGCATTTGCTTTCTAAAATTTAAACCAGAACACAGCCATTAATTCCCACACATATACACAAATGTATAATTATATATAATTCATTCAATATACAAAATTAAGTATCAAGTTCAATAAAACAAATGATCTCAAGTGATGGCCTGAAACAAATAGTAATGTTTGTCAAAGACACTGCATTTTTCTTATTTATTTATTTATTTATTTATTTATTTATTTATTTATTTATTTATTTATTTATTTATTTATTTATGTTGTGAGAGAGAGAGAGAGAAAGAATATGAGTGGGGAAAGGGCAGAGAGAGACAGGGAGAGAAAGGACCCCAAGCAGGCTCCATGCCATCAGTGCACAGCCCGATGCAGGGCTCAATCTCACAAACTGTGAGATCAGGCATGACCTGAACTGAGATCAAGAGTCAGCCCCTTACCTGACTGAGCCACCCAGATGCTCTGTATTTTTGAGGCAAATTATTCAAACTAGCAATGAATGTTGGAGCATTTACACCAAAATGCAATAAATCCCAACAGGAAAATAAATTCATGAGGTAAAAAAGCAATTCTTTCATGAACATTCTCAAATAAAATCACTAACATGCTGAGAACATCACAAGTAGACTGATTACAACAAATTACATAAAACCAAAAGAGAAAAAGCATGTTCATAAAAATGGATTTTAAGAATCTTCTCCATCTTAAGAAAAAGCATCACTGAATTAATTTTATTCCACGTCACAGAAATATACATAACTTTAGTTATTTGTGCAAACCTTATTTCAAAAGGTTAGGGGATTAATCGGTTAACACAGCTGACCACAGTCCAACTTCCACAGCAAGACAAGTGTATCGAAAATACTCATTTTGAAAAACCACTTGAATACAAATGGAAATGATTACAAATGATATGATTTATTTAGTTATGCAAGATGCCAATACTTCTGTAAACTCTGAAATCTGCTGAAATGATACATGCACAATATCTACCTGAAAAAACTAAAAATATAACATTTAAATAGGTTTATATGCTTCCCCTCTGTCAGAAAACTGTTTACCATCATAAAAATAGTTTTTAAAACTGCTTTTCAGTACCTTTCATATGGTCCAGGGTGTCCAATATGAATTAACTGATCTTGCCCATCAGGAAAAGTTAACTTACACCAAGCTAAGTTGAGACCTTGATTTACCTTAAGCAGAAAAGAGGGAAAAACAAGTTTTATTGTTCTAAAACTGAGACAAAACTCACAACAAAAGCCTCTTTTACATTATCAATTTAAAAAATATGTAGATGAATCATTAAAACTTTATTTTGACTAATTTAAAGATTATATTTTACATGGATTATGGGTATTGTTTAACCACCACTCTGGTCCTTCTCTATATAATCAGTTGCCTTTATAAAAATGATTATTTGTCACACCTTTCTGATTTTTGCTAGGAAATCCAATGAGATCACTAAAGCGTCTTGACAGATTTTACATCTCAAAAAATAAAATTGAGATAGTGTGGTACTTGATTTTCTTTGTTCTATTTCCATTGATAGAAACGATAAAAAAGTAGATTTCAGTATGAAATATAATCACCTGTCTCTTTTCAGTAAAAGAGCTGAAATTCCAATTTAGGGTTAGAGTAATGCCATTTAAAAAGAGAGCATGTACTTTGTCATCAGAGTATGCAAGAAATCTTCCCACGCTGGGTATGAGCGATTCTCTCAAAAGTAAAGGCAGTATATTGCTATCATTTATCCCAGGTACCTAAAACCAAGTAAATAAAAACAGCAGGAAAGAGAGTTATCCATTGATAAGACTTAAATGATTAATAAACTCTGAGGCAACTTTATTCAGAAGTTGAATATTGTAGAATCCTTATATATGTCTTAACTTTTCCAGAAGTGGATAGCCAAATTAGTCTATTACAAGCAGATTAAGTTCTAGTCTTTGAAAAGTCCATGTTCTGAATTTTAGAACACAGACAAAACTTAGGAAGTACAGCAACATATAGGTTTATAATTAAATTAGTACAGATACAGAATTCAAAGTTTGAGAATCACTTCCTTGAAGTCCACGTTAGAGAAATTACTTTTACAGTTATAGAAATAGAGTAGAATACTGTACTATCATAGTTTATAATAACCACATTTTGACATACTTCAAATCTTATCAATTTCCCTGCCTTTCCCCCTCCACTGAGAAAAAAGAAACAAAACAAATTATAGGCAAAGTATAACATAAGAGCCAGATTTTGCAGTGTTTATCTAGTAAGTGGATATTTTTCTGAATAAACCAATATTAATGTTACAAAGAATTTCTCACATGACTTCAATGAAAGTAACTTGAACTTAGAGGTATGTATGTAAACAATAAAACTATTTTAAAAATCTTGCTTTTAAAATAATTTTAATAGGGATGCTTGGGTGGCTCAGTCAGTTAAGTATCCGTCTTCAGCTCAGGTCATGATCTTGCAGTTTGTGAGTTCAAGCCCCACATTGGGCTCTGTGCTGACAGCTCAGAGCCTGGAGCCTGCTTCAGATTGTGTCTCCCTCTCTCTCTCCCTGCCCCTCTACCACTCACGATCTGTCTCTCTCCAAAATAAACATTAAAAAAAATTAAAAAGAAAAAGGGGGGGCGGGGATTCCTGAGTAGCTCAGCTGGTTGAGCATCTGACTCTTGATTGCAGCTCAGGTCATGGTCTCAAGGACATGAGACTTAGCCTGGCGCTGGGCTCCTGCGGTGGGTGTAGAACCTATCTGAGATTCTGTCTCCCTCTCCCTATGCCTCTCTCCCACTCACATGAGTGCTCTCTCTCTCAAAAATAAATAATAAACAAACAAATAAATAAATAAATAAATAAAAATAATTTTGGAGCACCTGGGTGGCTCAGTCAGGTAAATGTCCGACTTCAGCTCAGGTCGTGATCTCGCGGTTTGTGAGTTCGAGCCCTGCATAGGGCTTTCTGCTATCAGTGCAGATCCCACTTTGGACCTTCTGTCTCCTCTCTCTCTGCCCCTCCCCCATGTGCATTTGCGTATGTACACTCTCTCTCTCTCTCAAAAATAATAAATAAATAAATAATAATAATTTTAAGATACCATTTTCCAGCAGCATATACGATAGTTATGGCTTAAAGAAAGCCTTGTCTTCGCACAGTGCTGAAGAATTCTGTGAACATGAAAAATATTGCTTAAACATTTGCAAATAATCACATTTTCCAATTCTAGCAATGCATTCTTACTGCTATACAACATGTTAGGCAAGTAATTCATTTCCACTAAAATACATTTGGAACTCCTTTCTTCCAGAAGTCTTTAATCCCCTAGAAGGTGATTGCTTCCCTTTGTGTTAATCTTACATAGGTTACTCCTCTCATTTTTAGTAATGAAATGACTCCAAATGGAGACAATTTTCAGGTGCTCCTTTCTAGGAGGTGATGGTTTCATAGCACCTGAAAGGTTTAGTGTAGTCTAAGAGTGCTGGGGAGGTGAATCAACTATCCATAAAAAATCAAATTACCAATTCTGTTCCTTCAAATCTACTTTGGAAGTTGCTTAGACATAAGTTTGCAAAAATTAATAATTTAATTCAGGAATACACTTTCATGCTTCTGACTGCCACAGATTAATTAGAATTTTAAAAAAAACATATGAACCGAAGAACTGAACTGCACTTCATCTTCTGTATACTCTCAGAATCTTTATTACTCTGAGGATAATAAAGTATATGAAAATTTTAAATGTATCATCAAATCCTTAACTTGATTCCAAGACACCATAAGGATGAACTCACCCAGAGAAAAGGCACTTACTTCCTAACTGTGCATGCTTGCTATATATGGATGCTTCTCCACATTTAACTTTAAATTTCAAAGCCAGAAGTACTCTTACAATGATGTGATTACCTTATTTTGTGGATGAAGAGACCAGAAAAGCTGACAGACTTTACCAAAGACACATATTTCCACTGTACCTACCATTTCTTACTCTTACCCTAACCACTAGAAAATGTATCAGGGTTCTCAGACACAACACTTCAGTCAGGTGAATGTGAAAAACTTACCTGGTTGCCTGTTTAATTAGAGAACACACAGAGAACAGACTTCCTGGTCTATCAGGAGGAAGGTTATTTACTGAATAAGTTTTCTCTTCTTTCTGAAAATTAATTTAAAATATCTCAATAATAAATGTTGGCCATTATTATTTTTTCTTGAAATATGTATTTACATTGTGACAAGGCAAGCAGTTATTTTAACTTAACCAAAAGCCCATAATATTTTTAAAGGTATTTTATGCTTTTCCATTGTCCCATTTTTTTTAAGTCTAGCATTTCTTATGGATAGTTACAAAAGTTATATTCTAATACCCTATAACATACTGTCCAATTTAAGTTTTGGCTATATTTAAATTAATATAGCAACAGAACTAATTTTCCTACACATTAGCAGAAAACTTATAAGCCCCCTTTCCCCTTTAGATCAAAACAAAAACAGGGGCGTCTAGGTGGCTCAGTAGGTTAAGTGTCCAACTCTTGATTTTAGCTCAGGTCATGATCTCACATTTCATGAATTTGAGCCCCATGTTAAGCTCTGTGCTGATAGTGCAAAGCCTGGTTGGGATTCTCTCGCCCTCTATCTATCTCTCTGCCCCTTCCCTGCTCTCGCTCTCTCAAAATAAATAAACTTTAAAAAACAAAAACACAATTTTAATTGAACAAATATACAATTTTGCCATATTTTATTAATGGAATAACTATCACTACAGTTTATAGAAGACAACATTATTTACAAGCTCAGCTTTCTGAATTAAAAAAAAATTTTTTGTTATTCCTTTTGAGTATCCTTTCTCAGACTTTTTTTTTAAGCCTTTAAGGCTTGAGGGCTTGTACAAATCTAATTTGAACCACAAGAGAACATAGTCCCCATATATACTTTACCATCAGTGAGAGAAGACAGGCTTTGAAGACAAAGCTGGATTCAAATCACAGGTGCCTCTTACTAACTATAATGACGGACAGGTTTATGCAACTTTTTGTAAACCTCAGTGCCTATAACCTGTGAAATGGGGATACTACCTACCATCTAGATTGTTTTGAGCATTAATGATGTAATACATATATAAAGCAGCCAGGCCAGAATTCAGTATAGAGTAGTTACCCAAAAAATAGTCCCTCCTCTTTTATCCTGGACTATAGACTTGAATATCTAAATCTCTATGAGGCTTCTCCACTGAATATCACAAAGACATCTCAACTTCAACGTGTCAAAATGGAACTACCTTCATTTCAAAATCTGCATTTTCTCCTTCTCTACTTCAGATCTACCTGTGGTGTGTTCTCTCTACCTGGATCTCAGCTCTCTCCTCCATCATCTTCCTTTGTCTAACTCCTGCGTTTCTTTGCTCTCAGGAAGCCATTACCCAGAATAGGTGAAATCCCCTACTTACGTCCACAAGCACCGCACCCACCACTCTTGCTTTTTGGTTTTCATCATAATTTCAATTTCATAGTTTTTTTTATTAAGTGTCTGTCTTCCCTGCTAGAATGGGGCTTCATGAAGGTAGGGGCTGTATCTGTTCTTCTGACCTCTGTCTGAATCCCTAGCATTTGTTAGCAATGTGCCTTAGTACATGATAGGCACTCAAACTAATGCATTTTAACTATTTACATCTTTCTTCATTGGATACTGAGTTCCTTGAGAGTTCTTGTCTTTTCCACTACCCTATTTCAATTCTAAGATACTCATTTAGCCTAATTTAGCCTCTCTGAAATCTGGATGCATCTTAAGAGTATCTTACTTTCAGGTAGGTGAGTTTGAGATATAAGAGAATTTAAATGTTTTATTGACACCTCCTGGTAAGATCAAAAGCAACCGTCATCAAAACAATTTAGATTTGATAAAATTTTGGTTTAACACAGAGCCTGGCACCACCACTCATTGATTTATTCAACAATTTGCCATCATTTTCAACTCCTTCCTCATCCCCAATATCCAGTCAGTCATCAGTTCTGTTTCCTTAATATTCGTGTCCATTCCTAGCTTTTCATTCTCATTTCCACTGCCTGGTTCCTCATACTTTCTTCCCTGAACTGCTATCAATGTCCTCTAACTGGTCTACTATCTCTTTCCCACTCCAGTTTATCTTCCTCTGAAATGACCTAACAAAAATATGATGTCACTTCTGTATTTTAATCCTTCAGCACTTGTGCAAAAGCAGTATGGTTTCTCATGCCCCATTTATGAGCTGGCTCAACTTAGTGGTTTAGTCTCTTCCCTGGAAATTCCCCTCAATACTCTCTTTACAGCATTCTCTATCTATAGCATTTTCTTTTCCTTCAACACTCCATCCTTGCCCCAGGCTCTAGCCTCCAGTTAGGTGAGTTTATCTACCTGTTCTATGCTCTAGCAATAATACTGCGTTGAACAAGACAGTGCTTACTTCTAGAGTGGGTTAGCAAACAAACATTGATCAGTAAGAAAATGTCACATAGCACTAATTGCTATGAAGAAGAAAAGAGGAGGGTATCATGATAGTGTCAAAGGTAGCTCCTTTAATTTGGATAGTTGGGAGATGACATGTATTTATTTATTTATTTTTAATGTTTTTATTTATTTTTGAAGGAGAGAGAGACAGAGCATGAGCAGGGGAGGAGCAGAGAGAGAGGGAAACATAGAATTTGAAGCAGGCTCCAGGCTCTAAGCTGTCAGCACAGAGCCCGATGCAGGGCTCGAACTCACGAACTGTGAGATCATAACCTGAGCCAAAGTCGGACTCTTAACCGACTGAGCCACCCAGGTGTCCCAGGAGATGACATTTAAATAGAAATTTTAATGATAGGAAGCCAAACATGCAAAGAGTTGGACAAGTAGTTCCCTCAGTTATATATTCCTCCAACCTTCATCCCTCTTTTGTATAACTCCTTTAAAAGTATAGGTCCTAGGGACACCTGACTGGCTTAGTCGATACAGCATCCGACTCTTGATCTCAGGGTTGTGAGTCTGAAACCCACACAGGATGTAGATATTACTTAAAAAGGAAAGGAAAAGAAAATCTCCTAGATCAGCCATGTCTTCCTGCAGTTGACTTTTCTCCAAAATTGGGTCAGGTGCCCCTCCCCTTATGTGGTCCCAAAGCACCACATTCTTATCTCTATGAGAGCACTTACATCATGAGCCCTTGACAATCTTTCCTACTTAGAATTTTAATTATGCAAGTAACAGTACATTACTATTTTATGTTTTTGGAAAAAAAGAAAGTTAGGAAAATACAACATTTAAGTCCCTCCCTACTTTTCCTCCCTCACAAAATCCCACACTCCCTGCTCCTCCCGCCCAAAAGTAACTGCTTCAGTTTGGTTTTTACCTGCCCAAATCTTTCCCTGTGCATTTCCATGTGTATTATACACAGTAACATATTTGGGTTTGGGGTTTGTTTTTGTTTTTTACACAGAAGATATTGTTGTACATGTTCTTCTGCAACTTTCTTTTTTCACAGTGCCTTGAAGATCTTTCCATCCCTCTATGCATCTATGTCTTCCTCATTCTTTTAAGCCACCACACAAGCACCCTGTAATCTGACCATCTCTCATTTCACCATCTCTCTACTGAGGAACATTTAGATTGGTTCTAGTGTTTCGCTCCTACAAACAATGCCACATTCCATATCCTTGGCTGTATTTCTTTGTATATATATGTGTTAATATTCTTCTATGATAGATACCTAGAGGCAGAATTTCTAGCCAATTTAACTTGATATTATCAAACTGTCCTTCACGAAGGCTAAATCAATTTACACTCCAACCCAGTACTACGAAAGCACCCTTTTCCCCCCCGCACCCTTGCCAGCAATAGATATTAACAACGTTTCGATAATTTGATGAGTGAAAAATGTTATGTTGTTGTTATTTTAATTTTCATTTCTTTGATGCAAGCAGTAAAGTTGGACAGGTTTCCAAATATTATAAGTTATTTATATTGCCTTTTCTAATGGCTTAACCATTCTTATTGTTTATTCATTTTTCTATGAGAGGTTTTTATTTTTTTTGGTTTTTTATTACTGATTTATAGTACAGAATAGTTTTTTCCAGACCTTTGACTTTTTGGCTTTATCTAATTTAACAAAAATTAAATATTTAAAATTTAACGTAAGTTTACCAAGGTTACCAAACTTTTATTTTGTGCCTTCTGGTGTTTTGTACTGTATTTAAGAAGACCTCCCCTCCCCCAAGATTATAAACATTGTTCTTCTAGATTTTCTTCTAACAATGATAAACTTTGGTTTCTTACATTTAGCCCTTTAACCCATCTGGAATTTATTTTTAGAGCATGGGTTAAAGTAAGAAGCAAATAATTCTATCCTGAAAAGACAGCCAATTGTTTCTAAATCTCTTACTCAAGTGGACAGAGGTCTGAGAGTGAAGCCCTCAGCAGTCTACCACAAAGGCACAGGTCATCTGGAAGTCCTGTTTTATCCCAAAGCTCATGTTCTCCTCCATGATATGTTTGCTTCGGTATGAAAATTATCATCCCTCCCCCTGACACCTCTGAGTAAAACTGAAGCTCCAGGAAGATGTACAGTATTTATCCTGTACTTTTTCAAACTCTCAGTACACAGCAGCCAGCAGTGTAACTGCACACACCCCTCTATTTGCCTGTTTACTTGATGATCTCATGTACTACACACACACACACACACACGCACACGCACACGCACACACAGCAGTGGTCATGCTTTCATTTCATGTGCTTCTTGGCCTGTCTGACTGACTACTAAACTTTGAACCCTTGAGGGAAGAAGTTCTTTGTCTTCACCCAGTGCTTGACAGAGTGCCTGCCTAGGAAGGTTCAGTTAAGATGTATTGATTGAATAAATGAATACTTTCTTGCAAATGAACCCAGTGGAGAATCTGCATACATGTATGTATGTATGTGTGTGTGTGTGTGTGTGTGTGTGTGTACACACACACACATACACACACACACACACACACATACATACCCCCCCACACACATATATACAAAATGAATGAAATATTCATTCTAAAATTTTAATGAATGCAGATATTTGGGATTTACTTAAAAATAAATAGGGAGTGGAGGGAGCAGTGGGAAGTACAGATGGAACAAGTGATAAACAATTTATCACTCAAAATTCCACACTGAATATAAAAAGAAAACATATATATTATGTTCCATTCTGCAAAGCAAAGCCATGTGATACCATGGTGATCCATACATAAGGGTGGATGTCAAATGTCAGATTGGGAACAAGCAAATTTAGACTATTGACAATATATCCATATGATTACATTTCGGCCTGATATATTAAATATATCGTTATATTTCACTATTTCAACAACAGAGAACAACCTTGCTCAACTTTCTACTTGTATATAAAGATTCAGGAGTTAAGAGGTATTTTAATTTTTTTTTTTTTCAACGTTTTTTTTTATTTATTTTTGGGACAGAGAGAGACAGAGCATGAACGGGGGAGGGGCAGAGAGAGAGGGAAACACAGAATCGGAAACAGGCTCCAGGCTCTGAGCCATCAGCCCAGAGCCTGACGCGGGGCTCGAACTCCCGGACCGCGAGATCGTGACCTGGCTGAAGTCGGACGCTTAACCGACTGCGCCACCCAGGCGCCCCAAGAGGTATTTTAAACATGCAAATAATTACATGGTGGGGAAAAAAGAATGTGCTTTTAATGTGCATATATTAATTCAAAGATATGCTACTGGTTTTAGTATTGATGAATTCTGTGACATAAGAAATTTAAATTTAACTTCTGATTTAAACACAAATTGGGGCACCTGGCTGGACCAGTCAGTACAGTGTGCAACTCTTGATCTCGGGGTTGTAAGTACAAGCCCCACCTTGGGTGTAGATATTACTTAAAAATAAAATCTTAAAAAATAATAATAAATGGAAATTACTTAGGCAAATGACTGGCAGAATACAGGAGGAGAATGCAATAAACATAAGGTGGTTAGTAATCACTGTGCCACAGCTGGCAGTAACGTTGTATTAACTCTCCAGACTGCATAGTAGTAGGCAAGCAGTATTATATAAAGATCAAATGTCCTATGTATGTTCAGAATTATTTAGAAAGAGCTATATACAAAAGCCTTCTTGAGCTGAAAACTCATTGTCAGCTTACCTCTTCTGATCCTTCCTGAATGGAATAATAAGTAAAATAGCTCCCAAAATAAGCTCCCTCAGATTTGAAAACAGAGCCATCTCCAGGATAAATCTCTATTGAGTTCACATTTTTATGGGTAAGTCTAAGGAAGAAAAGTGATCATTAAATTTTTTTTTCTAATTAAGATTAAAACATAAATGAGAGCAATCAAAAAAGAAAAAATAATAAAGCAAAGTACTATATGGAATTCTGCCTATCCAGCAAAACAAGATAATTTCATACTTTGCACCCAACTGGCTAAATTAATTTTTTTGCAAAAAATGAACAGAACACACAGAATCAGTTAATGTATCTATTTCAACAGCTAAGCCTAGTTTCTGGAGCTCAGGCATCTTACCATCCTGGTGTCCCTTCTGCCAATCATAGTAGCTGGCATATACTAGTCACCAAAGAAATGCCCATTGCAAAGGAGTTAAATATGACAACACCAGAGCCTGAAAATAAGATAATTCTTTAATAATCAAACTAGTAGAATCTATACCTGATGAATGAGATTAGCCATGTGTAAAAGGAGCCATCCCTAAGAGAAGGTGACTAATCATATTTGAAGTAGCCAAGTATAATCAAGGTACTGGGTATATATAATGTACAAAACTTCAGCCAAGTCAGTTTTTACTGAGAAATATATGAAGAATATATTGTCAGAAGGGGATGGGCTTTCATGCAAGAAAAGGAAAGCCCTAAGAACAAAATCTTACAATGCGATGCTAGCATTATTTATAGAAGTAAAACCCTGAATCTAGCCAATATTAGTATTCTAGTCACTAGAGAGGTGTACTTTGTGGTGGGGTAGGGATAATTCAATGGAATAGTGCAGACACAGAGGAGCCTCTAATCTTCTCTAATTCCATGCTCAATAGGCAACATTTTGATGTGACTAATTCAGACAACTAGATCCACCGATGCTTGGAAGGGGTATCCTAAATAACTGACCTAAGTATTTCATTCAGTAGCAAAACTAAGCCTCACTGGCTCTGGAGTTGTCACAAAAATCTTGTGAATATGGTTAATGTGAATTAGTCACAAGACTCCTGTGTGCACTAATAAAACTAAGTTTTAAGACCTATAAAACATAGGACCGAACAGAAGAATGATGGCCCTAGCCAAACTGTGTCCTTTTGTGGGAGTCTGTCTGCAAGGCTAGTCCCATCCCCTCAGACATCACTAAATACTTCCAACACTGGTGCCTTACCGATAAGTTACACCTTTGTACCAAACCACTTTCACTAGTTCAGGATAGGAATATTCTTCATCAAACTGTCCTTGTGAAAGTGAATCACAAAAATTCCACCTGTGAAGGACAAAATACAAGCTATTAATTCTGGTTGCTCAACAAAATTACCTTTAGAAATCAACAAAATAGGGCAACTGTAACATTTATTTCTGGCTTAACTTGTTAGATCCGAGAAAAGTAAAAATTAATATAAAAGTGTATGAAGGAACTGAAAACTAATCTTATTTTTCCATGGGTTTTTTCCTTCAGTATTTTTAACAATCTTGTTATTCAATCTCAGCACAATTACATAAATTAAGGATCCAAACAACAAATATTTCCTGCAAGATCTATGCTATGCACACTGCAGATATACACCCAAAAAAGCAGACATGGTCACTGCCCTCAGGGAAGATTCCTATCAAGCAGGGATGTTAAGTAGTAAACACTGAACACAAAGAAAAGAGAATTACTGGATGCTATGGACACGCAGAAGAACCTAATCCTGTCTAGGAACTTGGGGATAACCAGCCTAAGGAAGAAAGCCTTGTGCTGGGACCAGAAGACGTGCACAAGTCAGCGAACTGAGAAAGATAAAGGAGTGCTCCTCGCAGAGGAAAGAGTAGGTGCAATGGTGAAACCAAGCTTGAACAGGCATTCTAGAGATTGTAAAAAGTCCAGTTTAGCAAGAGTAGAAAAAGCAAGGGCAAACGTGGTGAGGATCATAGACGTAGGAAGAGACCAGAAAATGGAAGGCCTGTTAAGCCATGTTTAAAGATAATGGATTTTAATCCAAAGTTAGTGGCAAGTTATTGAAAATTGTTAATTTAGAAGCCTAAATCTCTTTCAGTGTGTACTTATAATACTAGAACTTTCAATTTTAACCAAATAATCATGACCAGCCTGAAAAATCATATTTAAAATACGTATTTAAATAACAAATACGTATTGGGAGACTACCTGGGCTCAAACCCCAATTCTACAAGCACTAGCTACGTGACCCTGCTCAGATTATTTCACCTTCCTGTGTCTCAGATTCCTCAACAAAATGGGGCAATGACAGTGTTTTCCTCATGGAGCTACTATGAGAATCAAATAGCTACAGTAGAGCTGTGCCCGGCACATAAGCGCTTTGTGTTAGCTATTACCATTATTACTCTACTACTTATGGAAGTTCATGTTACAAATCTGTAACCATTAGTTTATTCACCTCTTAGGGAGAGAAAAGATTTATATCTGGTGTTCAGAGGCTTCTCCACGTTTACCCCTTTTTTCAAAAAATTTCAATAAATAGATTTATAGTCAGCTAACCAAAGACAGGGGTGGCCTCTGAGACTAGGTATGAAAGAAAGAACCCATGCTCATCAGCGGGTCGGAACCATGCTCCAGCTACAAGGTAACGGGCTCCACTGGGTGCAGCGGAGGCTTCTCTGTGCTCACTGCCAGAGCCCTGTGCCACTACTTACCACACTTTAACCATCTTGTCAGTGACAGTGACCTTAATAGAGTCTAAGCTCCTAAAAAGCAGGGACTATAGCTTAGACATCTCTATAGTCTCTGTGCTTAACAAAGTATATAGTGTATAGTCAGCCTTCCATAACCACTCAATGCGTGGACACAGAGTAAGACACATAAGGAACACATTGGCTAGGGAAATTCTTTACTATCGGTTATTAGCAAAGTTTTGGCTCACTGAGTGAACTTTCTTTATGAATGGTAGCAGATGATTACAAAAGAAAAAATATCTTTAGATAAAGACTGGCTCTGACAAGGGCTTTATGACAAATAAGCTGTTCTTCCATTACCTGTGCAGGTGTGGGACAGGACAGCTGAGTAACAGGGCCCTGGGAAGAACAGAAACCTCTTTTCCTCTTTCCTCTGAAATATCAGAAGTCAAAGTTTTATTCTGGGTGATGGCTGCATCAATTCTAGACACACTGCTGATTTTATCATGCAAATGCAGTGCTAAAGACAAGGGATATTTCCATTCCTCTGGACAGGAGGCCACAGGCCAGCATTGTTTCACCCACGTGTATACACACATGTGTTTTGTACCAGGCAGAGGTGGCTCGCCACTCCCTTCGGCTCCATTTACACAGCTCTTTTTCTCTAAAGGTTCCTTGGATTTCATGGTCTGATAGTAAAGTTCGTTTTCTTTATTCTTCAGTCTCTGTCTTGATAAACTTCCATATGTACAGATTTTGCCTGCTGTTTCATCTAGTTTGTCCTTTCTGGCTTGAATCTTCTTTTCTGACAATACTATAGATGAGTCTGGCTTCTGGCTTACTTTACACAAAAAATGTACTGTAAATTCAAGCTGCGATCTCGGCAGACAAAGGTATGCATGCCCATCTAATGATGATATCTTCACGGTGCCGCTCTGCATACACAGCATGCCATCATCAGTATCAGGACTGGGCCATCTGACTTCTGAGAAGTCAATGAAGATATGCTGAGTTGAGGAGACGAAGAGAGATGGGGAGTATTTTGTCAGCAGTCCAATGTTTCCACACATTCGATGCTTACATATTGTATAAGAAAGCTCTTAAAAGTTTTGTTTGTGTTTTACTATCTAGAGAGAATGAAAATGGAGAGCCAGGTGTTGGTCTATATATATGGTTTTCTAAAGAATATTTGATATTAAGATTCTCTCTCTTACAGAGAGAGATGTAAAACACACACACACAAAGAATGAGAGAGAAGGGACGCCTGAGTGGCTCATTTGGTTAAGCATCTGACTTCGGCTCAGGTCATATCTCACGCTTCATGGGTTTGAGCCCGGTGTCAGGCTCTGTGCTGATAGCTCAGAGCCTGGAGCCTGGAGCCTGCTTTGGATTCTGTCTTCCTCTCTCTACCTCTCCCCTACTCATTCTCTCTCTCTCTCTCATTCTCTCTCTCTCTCTCTCTAAAAATAAATATTAAAAAAAAGAGAGAGAGAGAGAAAAGGAGTGCCTGTCAGTGGCTTGGTCAGTTAAGCATCTAACTCTCGATTTCAGCTCAGGTCATGATCTCACAGTTTGTGAGCTAGAGCCCTACAACGGGTTTGTGGAGCCTGCTTGGGATTCTCTCTCTCCCTCTCTGTCCCTCCCATGCTCACGTGTGTGCACTCTTTCTCTCAATCAATCAATCGATCGATATTTTTTAAAAAGAATGAGAAGAAAAATAAAAAAGTTATCCTGACTATATTTAGCGTTAGACATTTTTGTTTAAAATGTTCAATGAATCAGAGATAAAAAGATTTTCAACCCTTCTCAAATGCCTACTCTGAAAAAGAATACTGAGGGAAGACCAGCACTAACTACCATGTACAAACAACACTACAAACAATACTATATTAAAAGCAATCATAACTTAAATGATAGTATGGAACTAGTATAGAAATCACTGACAGAGCAACTCAGGTAATATGGAAACAGAATCAACCACATCTTAAGATGCTACATGTAATAACATAAACTTTCAGAACAAGGAGGGAAAGGGAGAATGATTTATTTAATAAATGGTACTAGAGAGGACCTGGGTGGCTCAGTCAGTTAAGCGTCTGACTCTTAATTTCGGCTCAGGTCATGATCTCATGGTTCATGAGTTCAAGTGCCACTTCAGGCTCTGCTCTGACAGCACAAAGATTGCTGGGATTCTCTCTCTGCCTCTCCCCAAAGCACGCACAAGCTCCCTCCTTCTCTCTCTCCCTCAAATAAATAAATAAACTTAAAAAAATAAAAATAAATGGTACTCTCAAAGGGTTAGCAAATACACTAAATAAGACTATCTATCCTAGATAGCACCTAGCATACCATATGCTAAAATAAATTCTAGGTAGTGGGGCACATGGGTGGCTCAGTTGGTTAAGTGTCTAACTCTTGATTTTGGCTCAGGTCATGATCTCATAGTTTGTGAGTTCGAGCCCCATGTCAGGCTCTGGGCTGATAGCATGAAGCCTGCTTGGGATTCTTCTCACTCTGCCTCTCTCTGCTTCTCTCCAGCTTGTTCTCTCTCAAAATAAATAAATAAACATTAAAAAAATAATAATAATTAATTTAAATAAAAAATTCTAGGTTGTTTAAAAAGCAACTTTTTTTTAACGTTTATTTATTATTGAGAGACAGAGAGAGAGCATGAGCATGGGAGGGGCAGAGAGAGGGGAGACACAGAATCCAAAGCAGGCTCCAGGCTCTGAACTGTCAGCAAAGAGCCTGATGCGGGGCTCAAACCCACGGACTGTGAGATCACGACCTGAGCTGAAGTCAGACGCTTAACTGAGCCACCCAGGTGCCCCTAAAAAAAGCAACATTTTTAAAAACTGAATTACTCAAAAGTAAACTGATCCTGACCAATAGCACAGACTCATGACAGGTGCCAGTAACTATGGCATCTCTCCATATAAGATAAAACCAGCCAGTGTCACATAACGGTCTTTCAGCCAATTAATTTTGCAAACAGGTAAACATTTCAGCTTTCATTTATATAAAACTTTAAATTTAGAAAAGAAAGCCTCTTAAACCTACAGTGCTATTTATACGTACAGATGTTAGTACGGTATTCACTGATGGCAAAGCTGGCTTGTAAGGGTGGTCAGTTAAGAGAGTTCTCTCTTCTAGAATTAGATTATCTAATAACCTTATCAGCAGCAAACTGCAGTTTCAACAAATAAAGTTACTCAAAAGATAGTAGAAAAATAGCCTTATACACTAAATTACAGCTTACAATTTTTCTTGGCTCCTTTGTCATTATCGAGTAGTGGAAAGTAATTAAAAGATATAGTCTTAAAAAAAAAAGAAGACAGTCTTCAAACAGACTGGATTCAAATCCTGACTACCTCTTAGAAAATGTCCATGAACAAGGTTAGGTAAACTCTCTGAGATTTAGTTCCCTCAGCTATATAAAGGGGATAATATCCAGCCAATATACCTATTCTGACTGGCTAAATACCCACTTTGATTATCAGAGACCCATGCCATACTGGTGTTATTAAATATTTTTAACATCATTCCTATTTCTTTGCACATAGTAAATCCTCAATAACAGCTATCATTATTATCATTATCATATCATTATTATTATTCGTAAAAGTTCAGGAGCACCTGGGTGGCTCAGTTGGTTAAGTGTCCAACTTCAGCTCAGGTCATGATCTCATGATTTGTGAGTTTGACCCCCACATTGGGCTCTGTGCTGACAGCGCAGAGCCTGGAGCCCGCTTCAGATTCTGTGTCTACCTCTCTCTCTCTGCCCCTCCCCTGCTCAAGCTCTGTCTCTCTGTCTCTCTCTCAAAAATAAACAAACATTAAAAAAAGTTCAAAATAGAACATAAGCAAAAAAATAAAATATGTATACCTACAAATATACACATCTCTATTACACATGAACTGCACATAAACTACTGAAAACAGCCACATAATTTCTTAATTTTGACACCTCTGAGAATCAAAAAGTCATCAACCTGGAGGCGTCCGGCTGGCTCAGTCAGTAGAGCATGCAACTCTTGAGCTTGGGGTTGTGAGTTTGAGCCCTATGCTGGGTGTAGAGTTTCCTTAAATAAAAAATAAAAATAAAACGTCCAGTGTTCCGGTAAATTAATTCATACCCAGATGTGAAAGGAAGAAGGCTAAAATCCTTGCTAGTAACAGAAAAATATGAATATAAAATAAAAAGTCATTAATCTAGAAAATTCTGAGTATAATCTTTGGCTACAAAGAAAAGGTCAGGAAGATGAACTATGCATCTTCTGGGTCTCAATCAGTACATAACATATCAGGGTGCCTGGGTGGCTCAGTGGTTGGGCATCTGACTCTTGATTTTGGCTCAGGTCATGGTCTCACGGTTCATGAATTCAAGCCCTGCATCAGGCTCTGTGCTGACACATGAAGCCTGCTTGGGATTCTCTCCCTTTCTCTCTGCCCCTCTCCTACTCATGCTCTAAGTAATAAACT